TAGTGATTCTATGATTCTATGTTTTTCTAGCTCTTTGTTCGTTGGGTGTTATGAAGGAGAAGGGTATTGAGATTCCAATTAGAGATTTGTGAACCCTTGTAAGAATTTAGTATATACTGTTCCATATCAGGGAACTGACATTTGATAATACTTCAGCTTTACCTCAGTAAAAGAATGAGATTTTTGTTACCGTTTTATGATGTGTTGAAGTTCCCTGCCCTGCTGTCCATTCCATTCCATCTTCATTGTTTGTGTCTTCTGGGCTCCTTTCAGGAGAGTAAAATTCTCAGAGATTAAAGACTCTCAGCAGTTTAAGTAATTAGGCTAGAATTTTTTGTTTGTTTATTTGGGGTGTAAACTAACATGTTCTGTTTTGCAACTGGGACGCATTAACACTCTACACAGATAATAACAGTTACAAATTACCAACCTTCACTTTAGTAATTAATTCTTGTCCAGTCACCTATCCCTATGTAATTTCTGCTTGCATCCCAGGTAGTGAACTTTTTGAGTTGTCTCTTCTTAGTACTTACGTTCTTAACAAATACTGATGAACAAATCTAAGCTGTGTCTGTTACTCAAACTGTATGATATTTTGAGTAACGATGCCTCCTGGAGCCTCCTTGTCTTCTGAATGTTATAAGGCCTCCTTATTTCATGCACACCGGGGAGGAAGTTGCAGAGAAACAAGTTGCTTCTTGACTTAGGTTGTAAAATAGGGGAATATATATTGTAAGTAAGGAAGATGCATGGCAGTGTTTCCTTGTTTGTCTCCTGTTACTGAGTCTCTTGAGTTCTTGGGGCTGCTTAGTATTTTGGAGTAGATGAATGCTGGTTTTCAAGGCCTAAGCTACGATTTAAAATAAGACCCTCAAGCCAGGCACTAAGGTTTTTCCTATTCAAGTTATGGTATTTGTCAGACTTGCTCGAATGTATTTTGCTTTTAAATGCGTACTTTATTGCCTAGATGCAATAATAGCAAAACAATCTCTGGATTCTGAAGCTATTGTTTTTTAAACTCTTAAATGTTAAGAAAAATAGCTGATACTGCTAGTGAAAGGTTAACTAGTCTTCTAAGAATTACATGTTTAAAATTAATGTATTATGGCCATCTTCTCACTTGCTTCTGTTTATGACAAAGTAAAAGCTGCAGTCTGGGACAAGGAATAACAGAAAAGTATGTAAATTGAAAGCTAGGAGAAAAACAAAATTCACTCATCCTGTTTATAGTCATTTTGTCTGAGATACACTTGAACAGAAATGTTTTGTTTTATAGAATTCTCATTAGTGAATGTGAATTCTCAATATTATGTTAGTCAAGAATAACAGTGCTGGAGGTTTCCCTGGAAAATGGGGAAGGAAGAAGGATGGAGTCATTCAGAACTAGAGAAATAGTCATGAGCAATAAGTGAAGTTGGGTTGTCTTTGGATCCTGGAGTTACAGTAAGGTGGACTTTTGGTTTGCTGAAGAATCTGGTATTTTCTTAAAGAACGTCTGTAATGTTACTGAGTGTCTGTACCACTATGCATTGATTTGTATTTGTGACTTATGATCCAGTGGTCTTTCATTGGCAGTGACTTCCCGTTTCCGTTCAATTGGAATTGAATATTTCAGTCTGTCTAGCCTTGGAAAAGCACTTTTGAAGTGAGAACATGCTTTATTTGGTAGAATATGAAGCTTTTGTGACCATCCTAAAGTATAGGAAATACTTTTTTGTGTGTGTGTTGTTCTTCACTGTCATGTAAGGATTGCTAAACCTGTCTGAAATTAGGGCTGTGGCTACAATGCTGCCAGATGGGTTTTTAGAAAATAGAAAGTATTTTTGCTTAGTTTATTAAAACTTAGTGTAAACAGAAGATTGGTAATGCTGTGACTTTTCTCTAGGTACCTGCTTTAAGTAAAAATTATAGGAAGTAACCAGATACCCCCAGAAGAACAAGATGACCATGTAATGAGAAAATATAGCAATAACTACTTATTGCTAGATCACTTCTTTACATTTCTCATGCATGTAACTTCACTATAATAGACTACTCTTCCTCTCTCCTATTTTCATTGTAACAGTGGTATCACCAAGAATTTATTTTGTTGACTTTTAACACAGTGAGAACAAACAGTAAACAAAAGTCATACATTTCTTAGCTTTTTTCCAGTGCATTCAGTGTTTACCATTTGTAGATGCCCATCTTATTTTCTTTGTTATTTTTTCCTTACCTTATATAGCTATCAACATTTTTTAATCTGTATATAAGCATTTTTGTTCATTTTGAGATAAAAGGACAGCTGCTTTACTTTAATGCAGTCAAATTGTCTTACAGGGAAACAGCTGAATATAGAGGCTGTTTATCCATGACCTAGGCTGTGGAAGTAGTCATTCAAAGTCTCTGCTTGGTTTTTAAAACACGTTTCTCTAAATAATATTGACATTGTTTACATTACCCTTTGCATTCATATATAATTTCTTGCCATTTGCAGTGTTTTGGAATTCAGATGTCTGTCTATTGCCAAGGAAATGTTACTTTCTCTCTTCCTGCTATTCATGGTGCTAAGAGATGAGGCAAATCCCTCTGAAGATTTTTAGTCTTATTTAATTAAACTTTCTTATTATGAAATAGATAGTCCCCTTCTGAGTAGCAATTTCTATTATCTCTTAATTTGAACAAGACGAGTAGCTTCAGGAGTCTATCATTTTTGTTTAGATAAAGCAGCTATGCCTGTTCAATTGCTGAAGATGATTGATGGAAAGCCTGAGACTCCACTACCAAGCCATTTACAGAGGGAGGATTTGCAACATTTGCAAGAAGGCCTTGATCATACCAACAAATACTTTCAGGTAACTTACTAATAAAAGAATTTTGGCTCACTTTGAAATAGCTCCTGGTGTATTTATAAGGGACCTCCATGTTCCGGCTCAGTTGGTGACTTGCTGCAGCTGGGTGTCTTTGTGTGCATCTGTTGCGTATCTTTAAGCAGTGCTAAATTATGACCCGGTTGAACTTCATTACATGACTGCCATTGACCTCATTGATTCACAGTACTTTGTCAGACTTAAATTTTATATTTTCTTTGCTTAGTTTCTAAACACATTTTAAACCACCTTAATATGCAGAAGACTGGGCGGAAAATAGAAGGATTGGTGGAAGTAAGTGGTGGTTTGTTTTTTGTATCTGATGAAGATCAGATTTCAGAGCAATGACTTCTAAAGGAGTTTTTCTTTCTTGTATGAAGCAATATAATATCCAGTTTTATGAAGAGGACTCTGTAGCAACTACCTGCATCAAGATACAATTAGTTTTTTTTATCAAGTGTGCATTTATATTTTAGAGTAGTCCCAAATGCACTTCAAATCTGAAATACAATCCTAGCGTACTAGTGAAATGCTGAAGTGTTTATTTCATCCCTAAAACAAGTATACTCTAAAATGCAGTGTCAGTTCTTGAGGGTTTTCTTTTTTAACCTGTTTAACTTTTTTTGTGAATGATTCTGAAAATCCTTTTAAACATCCCTAATGTTTAAGTGGTAAGAAATTATCATCATCCCTGGATTGCCTTCAGTCTGTTACAAAGTAAAGCTGGGGGGCAAGAGCAGCTGATTCTCTAGAAAACCTTAGGTGACTTAAATCCTTAAAAAGTTGCACAGATACAGAAATTCATTAGGCCAGTTAAGTTCATATTTTTTAAGTATCTGATTTTTTTTCTTAATCAGCTGTATATTCCAGTTCCAGCTGTAAGTGCTTATCTGACCCTGTGATGAATCCATTAACGAGAAATAAACTGGCAGAAGACTGTCCATATTAATGGAGAGAGGGTAGTTTGCTGCTGCTCTCACTCTCTGGAGTGGCTTATTAGGGTACCAAAGAGATGTCAGGAGTAGTGCAATGAGGTTAAATAAAGGAGCAAAATGGCCCTTTTTGGAAGCAGACAGTTATGGAGTGTGATAGGAGGTGACTTGATTGAGAATGATCCATCCTTCCTTAGGCCTTATAAAGGAACAAATGGAAACAACAGTAACCCATGCTGCTAATAAACAGGGGTTTTATTCCTCAGGGTGTACTTTTCTGTCCCCAGTCACCTGCAGGGTGTATAGGCTTTCCTGCTTTAAAAAGCTATGCCTGCATGCACCCCTGGCACCGGAGAAGAGGGGTTCTTGTTCACAAAGGAAATGTTGAAGCAGGCAAAACCAGATTATAAAGTAGAAAATGTTTCTGCCAAAATAAATGTTTCCATAAGGAAAGCAGAGCAATCATTACCAGACTGTGATTTAAAGCATATATGCAGTGTTACAGCTGATACTGAAAGAGAAAGTGTGTAGAATCTCTTTCTGACTTCTGCCTTGTGTTAAGAGAACTTCATGCTGCTGCTGACATGGATTAGTAAGTGACTAAAACAGCTTGGCATTAAAACAGTGCAACCGGGAGCTAATAAAGCTGGTACTAATGTACCATTAAGTATGAAGTAAAATCCAGTTCCACAGGCTGAGCTTGAAGCGAACCTTAAAATTCATTGAATTTAGGTTATCTTAGTAGTGGCACAAAACAGTGTCACTCCAGGCCTGCCAAAATAGGGATCAGGTCCTGCTTTGAGGAGGGAGGAAGGGAAGAAGAGGATTTTAATGAAGGGTGTTCTAGGAAAAATCAACAAAAACCACCCAGGATGCTTCCACCTGGTTTGTGTGCTTCAGTCCTTTTATTCTTCTGAAATTTTTTTGCTTTCTGGCATACCTATGAACAATACAATTTTTAATGTAAATTTTTGAGAACACAGCACAAACAGTGTTAATACATCTTCAGTCATGATGTCCCCTAACTGAACATGATGCCTCCTCCTCTAAATTAATCAATTTCTGGATTTTGCTCTGGCAAAGCTGAACCAAACCTGAAAATCAGCTGGCAGACCAGACTGAAGAACACTGCTGCGGCAGGGAAGGTGACAGATTCACTAGAGGAATTGCATCTAGTTGTTTTGACAGTGAGTCTAAGGTTTTAGAAACTGGACTGGGGAGGGTTTTAGAAAAAGTTTGGCTATGGGTTCAATAAGCAGGGCAGGATTTGTGCAAGTTTTTGTTTAGATTAGTGTATTTGAGCATGTTTTGCTAAGGTAGGTTTGGTTGAAGTTTCGAGCCCAAGAGTTTTGTTGAGAAAGCAGTGAGTAGTATTTCTGCTGAAGAAGAGAACTGGAGTGTAGGTGTTTGGGGTACAAAGGAAGGAGAATGTGAAAACTCACTGGAAGATACCAGGATGTAAAAGAAAAAGTAAAAATGGTCAGAAAGCAGTCTGTGTCTCATCAGTGTATTCTGTTTCTAAGCAGCATGATTGTGTGGGTTGAAATTTCTTTGGTAAATTCAGTGTTCCTGAGGTGACCTTTTGTTTTGTTGCAAGGACTTTATTATGAGAAAAATTCTGTAGTATTTGATATACCTGTGAGTACAGTTCAAGACAAACAATCTCAGCAATAATAATTACAGATAATAGTTAAAATTCTAAACAAAGCTTTAACTTTGAGAGAAGTGGCAAACTGTTCTGTAAGTAATCCGAGAGAAATCTCAGAACATTGTTCTGCAGATGATGATTGTTAAAATAAGTATTTGATACTTAAGTCTCCTTACAATACTCATTAGTCTTCCCTCTGAAAAGTAGGAATTTACCTGTTAAAAACACGTGCTCATAGATTTTTGACCTTCAGTTTGGCTTAAATGAAGCACTATTATTGTCTTGAAAGCAATAAGCCAATATGGTACATGCTAAATCAAATTCAACATGGCTATTTTTTTAGTGTAATAGAATTAAAATATACTTTGGGTTGGAAAAGGATGGTTTGTGGAGTCTTAGTATTTCTTTATAAGACAGATAGTAAAATAAATTACTGAGTTTGATTTGGATTCCTCCTCAGTTAACTTGTTGTAGGTCTAATTTTACTTTGAAAATCCTCTCCAGTACAATTCACTGCTGTGTATTTTATCCTAATTTGGTTTAAGACGTGTTTAAGTCAAGCTTCCCACTGAATCTGTGTACTGTACAATCACTGTGATTTAACTGACTGTCCCCTTAATGTTGCTTTTGTGCATTTATAGACAGATTGTACCTGCTGTCTTTCTACAAGAAACCTTTTATTTCCTGTGCTGGTTGTGTAGTTCTCTTAAACACTTTGTAGAGTCTGTCTTCAAATTTTTGTGTTTTTCTTGGTTGAACCAATTGCTGTGTTTTTATCCTTGAGAAGGATACAGTGCTTTGCCTGCCATGTTGTGCAGGAACTCATTTGACTGACATTTTTGCTAATGTTGATGGAGAACCTTCTTTGAGATACCATCTTTCTAACAAATCAATTTATTCCAAAGAGATGTTAACATAACTGAAGTTGCTGGCCTGTGGTTTTTTGTTTCATTGTAACTTCATGATAAAGAGAGTATTGTATGCATAAATAATAGAACCTTTGCATGTTTTAGAGCATTTGTATTATTGACAATTTAATAGGTCACTACAGTTTCAAAACTTTGTAATCCTGTTCTCCCATCTGTATGTTTGTGGGGTTTTTTTTTTACAGATTATTTGCTGTCCTATATCTCTCTTGACTGTGATTTTGTGTTTTAATATTTCTGTTGTAATCCTTTGCCAATATTTTTGGAGAAATTATTGATTTAGATCACCTGACTTTTTTCGCTCTTTTAGGTTTTGTGCTAGAACTGTAGCCTTTGTGCTATGATTGTTACTGGCAAACGGGACTTCCATAGCTACTATTTCATTGGTTAGTGTAAGCTTATCTAGTCAGTAGCATCTAAGTAGTATAGGCATGTAATAATATTTCATTTATTCCAGCACTTCAGTGCTGTCTTTAGCAGGTTTTAATTATTTTTTTTTAAGAATTCAGGTGGTAATTTGCACTTATCACTTAAACTGTACTTTTTTTAGCTTACAGATGTTTTAGCTGTTATCATGTTTCAGTATCTTAGAGGCACACAGTTCACTTTCGGTTTTTGTTTTTACTTTTTAGGGAATAGTTATTCTTTCCTACCCGGTAACAAAACCCAGAGATGGGACAGATTTTTTCAAGATTGTTCTTCAAGGTAATACATTTAAATACACATTTTTAAAATTATCTTGTTCAACTTCTTGGCACTTCTTTTGACATCATACTATTACATCATTAGTACCTGCTTTTTTAGTGTTCAGTAAAATGCTATGTTTAAAATGCTGTCTAAAAATATTATTTTTCTACATAAATGGATATTTTTAAACATATGCCAGGTAAGTTAATGGAAACAATACAGTCTTTATAGTTCAGTAGGCTGCTTGTTGCAGAAAAATTTAAAATACTGTCATGGAAATGCATTAGGTATGTACACAGCTTTAATAGTTTAATTTTAAACAGTTTATCATAAAGAAGGACTAAGAGAAATAAACACTTAATAGTTACCATATAATGTACATCGTATATACTATGTAAGTGAACATTTAATATAGGTCAGCATGTTGATTAACAGCAAAATATTTGTATTTCATTCTGGTTTAAGAAGTTAAAAAATGGAATTTCACCTGATTACTCAGGTATTCGAAAATCAGTAGCTACATTAAGGATACATTGAACGACTTCAGTTGTTCATAATGTAATAAATGTTACTAAAAAATGTCCCTTTTAAGTCCCAAGCTCATCACTCCCTCCAGTCAGGAAGGAAGAGGGTGTCATTAGTCAGGAATCTGTTAGATTCAAGGAAATTTGAATTTCTTTCCATTTCCTTCTTATCTCTTTCCTTACACTGGTTAGAGAATCACCACTTGGTCCCTCTGAGCCTTCCTGATTCTGCAGGTTCAGTGACTGTGACTGGACAGCGGGCTGGGGGGTGCAGATCCTACCTGGTGACACAGTGTGTAACTGGTGTTAGCAGAGGTGAATCAGGTTGGTGAGACCCAAGTCAGTTCCCTGCTGGCTTCAGGGTTCAGAAAGAAGGATGCAAAACTTCCCTGAGTCTTCGTAATTTCACATGTGTGTTCAGGAGGGCAGGGAGAGTTTCTGTACATTCACCACAGCCTCAAAAAATAAGTTTGTGCATCTAAATCATTAACTTCACTTCTGAAACAGTAAAAGGCAGAAAACTTTTAAAATAACAACGTAACTTCTGCTTCAGTCCTTCTGGAAGGCTATTTACTGACCTGTTTACATCCTGGAATATCCATGTTAATTTAAAAAAATCAAATGTGACTGGATAATATTTCCTCTCTAACGCTATACGTGTAGTTGTCCAAGTGGAAATCTTTGTCATTTCTATTTAATTTACGCTCATTTACAACGTGTGCACATTTTAAATGGTCCACTTATGAACAATATTCTATGTGATATACCTATGGTTTGCACACAAAAGCAGTTGTGTTACTATTGAAAGGGTTTTCTGTTTGTTGATTAATTGGAATGAAAAGTGTAGAAGACTATAGATCAACTTATGTTGGAAATCTCTTCCCAATGCTGTTTTGTTTTGGAGAAGGTATGGTGATTGGAATCTCTTCTGTTTTTTGTCCCCTAGATTTGGAGAACTCATGTTCACAGATCAACAGCATAAATGTTTTAATATATGGAAAAATGGCAGAGGATTGTGCAAAAGTTATATGCCATGGGGTAAATTTTTTTCTAATTTTAGGAATTGTTTTTCATTGATGTATGTTGACTTCTTATCTTGTCTTTGTATAGCTATCACCAAATTAGAAAGTTTATTCAGTCAGTTTAAATCTATAAACTAGAAAAAAACCAAAAAAGTGTTTGCTTATGTTAAGTTCTTTCTAACAATAATATTGAAATAAAGCAATTCTCTCTGTCAGTGCTGTTTTCCTAGCAAGTAAAGGATCATGAATATGGATAGAGAAGTTGGCCATTATGTTTGTAATTTGAATGTCTTGCTGTTTGATAAGATAGTTTTGATTAAAAAAAAGCTTTTAATGTAAATGTCTTAAATTAATTAAATTCTAAAATCTATGTACACTGTTTCTCTATGGGCTGGGTGCTGTCATCTTGCTTCATCACAGATACCAGCTTGGTTTGATTAGCTCCAGGGTAAAGGACGTTGGCAAGTCAGTCTCTATGGGTTTGTGAGACAGTGTTGCAACTAAAGAAGGAAAACAAGCTGAAAACAATTACCTCAAGTTAATATTTTTTATTAGATTGCCTGTCAGTTGATGACATTTCAATATTAGTCAGATGTAAAACTAAAATTAGTGTACAGTGTGTTATGAGCCCATGTTACTGATTTTTCATTTACAATTTACATTCACACTTAATACCTAGGATGGTTTGGGCTGGAAGGGACTTTCAAAGATCATCCAGTTCCAGCCCCCCTGCCATGGGCAGGGACATCTTTAACTGCATCAAATTGTTCCAAAACCCTGTCCAGCCAGACTTTGAACAATTCTAATAACGGGGCATCCACAGTTTCTGAGCAACCTGTTCCAGCGCCTCACAACCCTCAACATAAAGAACTTCTTCACTGCGTCCAGTGTAAACCTACCCTCTTTCAGTTTAAAACCATTGCCCCTTGTCCTGTCGCTGCCGGCCTTGGTAAAAAGGTTTTCTCCATCAAATAAATGGGAAGTTATTTAGTGAAGAAAACAGGGCTTTGCTTTCACATTCTAAAAATATTTTTTATGCACAAAAGTTGAGGACTTTGTCAAATATGGAAATAGCAATGTCTTAGGATTCTGTCAGGGTTTTTCACCTCAAATGGGCTAGTACACCTGAACTCTGGTGATTTGTGTGTTGAAAAAGGGTGAAACTTACAGCAAACCTTAGGGCAAGACATCAAATTATCACTGAAAGTCCAAGTTGCTCTGAATTCATGGAACATCTTAATTTCAGGTGTGTGTATTTTTATGTAATGCTGCCTAAGGTAATGACGTTTGCTTGGGGTTTTTTTCTTACACCCCCACCCTTTGGAAGGGAAAGATCTATTTATGTTCCCTGAGAGTGATCTTGCTTTTTCTCAATAGTAGTTTACACCCTGAATTGTATCAGCTTCAGCCGCATGCATTAGTTAACAAGACACATGGGACTGAAGCTGCTACTTTCAAGAACTACACCTATAATTAGAGCTGAGGCATTTATATAATGTATAGTGACCTATGTTATAGTTTTTATATAATTATGTGCTTATAAATATTCAGACAGTGAGGACTTTTGAATCCCTGTGTTTTTCGTGTTGTTCATTTGACTAAATTAATACGGATTTGATGAATATATGTAGATTAGAGAAGGAACTCAATGTTTAATTACTGCTTTTATCATGTGGACAGTCCTCAAACAGCAGGTGACACATGCTGGCTTTCTCTTCAGATGGATTAAAAAAAAAAAAAATATCTTGTCCAAGAAAATTTAGTGTTTCTCTTTTTTCAGCATAGATGTAACTGTTTTGAGATTTTTATCACTTTTCAAATTTCAGTTGAAGTCAGTAAAGAGGTTTAGAAGTTACAGAACGTGTAGGACAGGCTGATATGATGGTGGAATTTATCTCTGTAAAAAGCAAGGCTAAAAAATACCAGTTTTATAAATGTTTAGTGAATAGCTGAAGAAATTGATTTGAAGTTATGGTTGTCTAATGCAGCATTAAAAAAAAAGTCATTGTAGGATGATGTATAGGTGGAAACTTCCCATGGAAATGAGAGATGCTGACATATGTCTTGTGTAGACCCTGCTCGCTCTTTGTCGCTCTTACCTTGCTTTATTTCCAGTCACATATTTTGTTTTATTAAATATTGAATTAATGTTAAAATTATAAGTAATATTTAAAATAGTAATTAGTATTAAATTCTTAAAATGCTTGCTGTATTTTTAATGAATCTGTAAAATACTTCAGAAGTCTAGCTAAGCAGTGCAATTCCTTGTAATTTGAGGAATTTTTGTGGCATCATTTATCATGTAATTTTCATCAGCAAATAGTCGAGCTTGTGTCATGAACTGAATGGGTTAAAGCTTTGTATCTTGAGGAAATTACTGAGTCGAAGCAACATTTTCCAGCAAAAGGTGCTTGCTTTTAGAAATAGTATGGTGGTAGGTCTTGGGAAATTTACATTATCTGTAGTGTGTACTCTGTTAAATAGAAGTCTGGGTGAGAGCAAAAGAAGAATTATATAGGGCATCTTCCTCTATTGAGATCTAGTATCTCTCCTGCAACTGGGATAGGTTTTGTGAAGGAGAAGTCCATGACACCTAGAGATTGTGAACGCAGGATTTCACAGATAGAATTCTTTAAAATTTTTGTCTCCTTAAGGAATAATAAATTCCATTTAGAGCCATTTAGTAGAACCTGCTTATAGATGGCTATAAATTTGACCTTGGAATTGGTGCATTGGCCCTGTCAGCCCTTGGACATCTGTGAGCTTGAGGGAACAACGTGGAGGGGCTTTGGGCTGCCTGGTAAGGTGTGCAGGTCAGAGTATTCAGTTTTACAAAGCCTTGTTCTAATGTTTGTCATAGGCCATGATAGAGAGAAACATGCCTTGAAGTTCAGCAAAATCAGTTCAGTCGGTTTAGGGAAGAAAAATTTCACAACTGTCAGATATGTATAAAAGAAGTGGTAGTGTTTATATAAATTTCTTGATTCCACAGAATTTTGACACTGTGTCCAGAATGGGAGGTTCCTGGACTAATTTATGTAATATACAAGCTGCAGAATCATTTTAAATTTCAAGAACAAATCAATTTTACTGTGCTGATAAAAACACAGGTCTTGAACAAGGCCCTGAGCAGCAACTGGCAACCAACTCCTAGAATCTTGTGTAGCCTGCAGTCTAATAAAATGCTGAAATGGGATTAACGTATCGCAAAGCATAGATTTTTAGCTGAAGAGTGATTCTGCTGTTGAAGGACCACCATGAGTAGCATCAGCAAAAGAAATGACACATGCTAGTGCCTGGTTGTGCAAAATCGATGTTTCCTGAAGCTTGAGTTGGTAACTGGAAAGAATGAAACAACTTTATTGTATGTTAGCAGGGCCGTGTGTTCCCTATGCAAGGAATATTGAGTTGTCTGATTGTTTTAACCCATTTTAACTTAGCTCAGAGTTTGGCTTACACTTAACGTGTCTTACATATTATCTTTTAGTCATAATATACATTGTATTCTCACTTATGACACTACCTGAAAATTACCATGCCATAAGTTGTTTTGTTGTGTATTAAACTGTCTGATAAACTTGTTTTCTGCAGTAATTTTTTTTTTTACAAATCCTTTAATAACTAAATATATCACTGTCACTTAAGCTAGCAGACTTTCTTTTTCTTGGACAGAATGTTAAGGTTTTGGTTCTTAAATCATTTAGCATAGCACTGTCAGATTGCTGAAACAGCAAAAAATGAGCCATCATAGTGCAATATTTGGCTAAAACTGTCAACTTTAATCAAAAACCACTTTTATTTGTTGTAATCAAATAAGTACATGAACAAAAGTCATTCAGGAAAAGCTTATGGAAGTGCTTTTGGTAGAAGGTCGAATAGAAATAGGGTTCCAAGCCTAATACGTTTATTGAAGTGGATCACACTGGTAGAGCCCTGCTATACACTTCTGGTACCAAAGGAGCTGACTACTAAGGAGCTTTGCACTGTATCAGAGTTCCCAGCATTATTTGTGTTTGGTCTGATACCTTTCTTACCATCTCTATCTCTGAAATGTATTCTTTATCTCCTCCCTCTGCGCCCCCTCCCCTTCCCCCTTATTTTTTTTTCCTTCTGTTTTGTAACGTTGGTACTAAAAAGGGGAGCTGCTGCAGGGACTTAAATCACTCACCCCTTAAATCATCCTTTCCTTGTTCACTTGGTGGTGTCTGAGGAATTTTATACCAAAGTGAATGTGCAGTTGCAAACTCAATTGTTTCCTGTGCCAGAATCTCAGGAGTGATGCCAGAGAAGTTTATAATGTCTCTTTTGCTAACAGAAACCTACTTACTGATTGACCTAACTGTTTGACCCTTAAAGAAGAAACTGGAAGAGTCGATCCAACACAAACAGAACATATTTTCAAGGAGAGTCTCTTCAAAGTGCAACTGTATCTCAATAAGAAATAAGCTCTGAGAAAAGACTTTTGTCACTGCCGATCTGATGTGTGATTCCTTTTCTAGCTTAGTTAAGCTTACCCAGAAAGGAGTTGGTCTTCAGTATATTCACAGGGAAATAATTCTTTTGCTTTATTCAGTGTGACTCTTCCCCCCTGTGAAAATTAGCACTCAGTCACAGTAGCATGTGCCACAGTTTTAGGAGAATTTGAAAAAAATACGTGCTGGCATTGGTTGGAAATAGGAATTTTGTGAGTAGAAGAACTAAATAGAGAAACTTAAAAGCGGTGTTTAGAATTTGTTCAGGATTTTTGTTTCGTAAATGTCTTGAGACTTTATATGGTGAATTTCGCATCATATGCTCCTTAACATATATGGGACACAGCCGATGTGATCATGTCTTTATCACCCTGTCTCCATAGGACACCGTTGTAGTTGCAGGATTTAAGGTGGCAAAATCCCCTTCAGCAAGGCAGGATGGTAGACACAGTTGCCACCTGGAGATGTCTGAAGAAGATGGATCAGCTGTTTATGTACGTGGGTACCCGACTTTTCTAACCTTTTTTCTTTTCTCCAACTACCAACATTAAAATTTTGCTTTATAATAGGAAAAAACCCAATAAAATCTATTAGAATCTGAAGTGCTGCAGATAATTTTAGAATGTTTATAAGGAGACAATCAGGACACATTTGTGTGTGTGGGCATACAATTTTATAACCCTAGCCATGCAAGACCCAAATTATCTCACGCCTCCCAGGTAAATTCCTACATGTTGAGTGCAGAAGTTTGACCTTAGTTGGTTTAGATGGATGCCTAGAGCTGTTTGAAACACTCATGCGTTAACACAAGGCAATAATACAGACAAGGTAGAGGGTGCAAGAGTGGTCTGGGTCTGTTTTTAGCTTTCTATGGTCTGTGCGTTTGTACTGCTTTAACTCTCATCATTACCCTTTGCCTTTGAAATTCATGGATTCCTAGATTCTTTATTTTTGAAAAAGAATTACACCCCTTTTTTCTGAGGAATAAATTTGTTCTTTTGTACTGTTCTCACATTAATACTGTTCACCTTAAATGCTTCTGTCTGTTGAGAAATGGGAGTGGAGATACCCTGGTCTGCTGCTGCTTCTGTTTGAAGGCATCAGCAGCGCACGTTTGTTGTGGTCACTCTGTTTTTGCTTCAAAATAGAATTTACCCCATTCTGTTGAGTTTGCCTCAAATTCACGTCTCCCAGAGGAGAAGGACGAGTCACTGAAAGTAGATCTACTGTAAGCATTGACATGTACAAAACGAAAAACTCCTTTAAGTTCTCTGTTGAGCAAGAACAGTTTTAATTTGTGGCCTCTGACCTTCAAATGCTGACTCTACTAATGTGACCTGACATATTTAACTGAATGCATTTCTACTTCCTTCACAAAATCTGTGTCATTTAAAGTAGCTTTAGTCTGAATGTAATTGGAGTAAATATTTTTTTTCTTCAGTAGGATAAAATTTTAGTAGTTTGAGAGGTGATTCATGTAGCAAAAAGGTCTACAGTGCTCTTTTGATTTGCTTATAGCATTACTTTGCTTTATTTATCCAATATTGTTGTATTTGCAATGCCTTCAGTTTTGTAACCAGAAATTTTGTTATTTTTTTCTCCTCAGATTTATACTAAACAAAAAACAACTGCTGCTTCAGAAACTGCAGCTATGGTGAGTTTATATTTGGGATATTTTAAACCACATGAGACTAACAGCATATAAATAAGAAGGTGTGGAATTTTTTCTTTCCTGTTTGTATTACTTCCATACTCTTATCCCAGCAGTCATTTGTTTAGCTTTTAATTTGCAAATAGTATGCCTGGAAAACAGAGTAAAATATGAAAATGTAGTACTTTTTCTATACTTGCAGTATAGCTCCCATCTTGATCTCAAAATAGGCTGCGTGTTGGTTTAGTAAATATGAACTAGATAAGTAAATATTCATTCTGAAGAAGATTGTATGCTTGTGCTTTAAAAAAATGGAACTATGAAACTTTTATTTAAAGATTTCACGTACTGGTCCTGCCATCTCTGTTGATTACCAATTGGAACAAGCCTTTATGTGTGTAAATTAAAATTGTACAGGAAATAGTGTATTAAGGCATAGAAATTGGTGTATGAAATTTTATTGTTCTTTATGATAAGGTTAAAGATTTAGTACAGAAATGATACAGCTTGTCTTTGCGTTAATTTTAGGAAGAATTTTTTTTTTCCCTGATATAGTCATTGAAAACCACAGTTTTCAGTCAATTTGGCAGAACTTATATTCTTTGAAAGAGACTAATTAACATATAATGTAACCTTAAGATGGGAGGAGTCACCAAATAATACAAGGTAGTCCTTAATTTCTTTAATCCTCAACTAGTGTGCTGTTTTAATGGGAAGATTTACACAATGGCTGTGAGAGGTAAACACTCCCCCCACACCCCCCCTCCAAGACAGTGATTCTGTGCAGTGACACTGCCAATAGGAATTACAAAATTATGTATGCCCTTTTAAAATGCCTTTTGGATGGACATGTTAAAATTAATCAGTGAAAAATTACTTTTCCATCATTCTTTATTATAATGACTTTTATTCACCTATTTCATGTATTGAAAATTACTTGAACTGACTGGTTAGTTGATCGTAAGAAAGATGCAATCACAAAAAGAAATGGAAATGTCTTGTGTGCTTTATTGTCTGTGAAAAAACATATATCTTTAAAGAGTCTAAAATGAATAAGAGAAAAATAGGTAACCTCTTTTTTTTTTTAAGATGAAATAAAGCATATCTGAGGGTGGATGGTGTTAAAATACAAAATTCTGGGTAAATGTTTGAATAATTTTTTCTTCTGTTCCCTAATTTCATCATGCCTTTGCAGTTTGTTTCACCAAAATACGTCTATACTTCTCTGAATCATCTTAAAGATGGAACTACAGTGAATTTGTATGGTGTTGTGAAATTCTTCAAGCCTCCATACGTAAGCAGAGGAACTGGTATGTACTATATTCGAGAGATTAAATATCTCCTCCAAACAGAACTGTTCTTACTATGTTTGTTAAAAATGAACTAGAACGACAAGTTCAGGCAGTCCATTGACCATGGTTCTCAGCTAACATCAAAGAAACAGGTAGGAAGGGATCAAGGAAACAAATAGGTAAGGGATATTGGAGTCGGTCTAGGCAGACTAGTGGAGATAGCAAATGAAGCCAGTATTTATTGAGGTAATACTATCAGCACAAAACAGGGAAAAAGACCTTCTGTCCTTGTGGGAAAGGATTGTTGTGTAACTGCAATTTTTCCTTGAGATTTTGACAGTGTGTTGTGATACTCTGTAATGGGGTGCCAGCATATTTGTTACTTGTAGAGGCTGTGCAACAACTGAATCAGTTTTTCTCTCCATGCGGTGAAGGCTTACTGATTGTGCTAGTGTTGCTAGAAGACTGTACCATTTCACAAGGTGCTCTGTAAGTACATAGCATGGTGATACACCTGCTGAATTCAATTAAGCAGTAGAGTTTCTTATTTGATTCAGAATTAGTCAGAGTATTTTCTGCTTATGAATTTGCTGTGTGTTTTGGTTTTTTCCCCCCTTCTAAATGTATTTCTAATAGAACAAAAAATAGATTGTGCTAGTAACTGTTGATTTGTATGGTCTGAATTATGCATAAAAGTTTCTTGAATAATATCAATAGCCATGCATTTGGCTTCTAAATAAAGAAATGTAAGAAGTGAGCATTAAATCAGAACCAGGAGTTAGTGGCTCATTTGTGAAACCTTTTCCAAACAGACCTGTGTGTTCTTACTTGTTCCAAAACTGCCAGCAATGCTTTACTCAGGGTAAATGCTTTGTGAGAACACAGTGCTCTACCTGCAGTACTGTGGCTTCCAGTGAGCTTTGCTTAGTCAGGTGGCGTGAAACATAAGTGAAACAGCTGAAAACTGTGTGAACATGGGGACACACCCAAAAAAAGTTTCAAGTCCAACTGAGGTTCAACTAATGGCTTCACTTTTTGAAGGCCCGAGCAGTTTTCAGCCTTTGAATCAGTTTAGACTGTATGAGTGGGAGGAACATCTGGGAGGTCTGTGGCACTGTGTGTATGCTAGTTTCAGTATGCTCAACTGAACTGTACTGATATAATCTGTATTGTGTGCGTACTTATTTACTTCCATTTGGTGCATGTAGTATTCTTGTAGATAAACAGACATACTGGTATGAAGGACACAATGGACAGGGTATTTTTGCTCATACTTGTCTTTTCTGTGGGCAAGTGTTAGACCACACTACAGTTACAAGATGTGCATGTGCTACTCTCAAGGCTATCACACACGATGTGTCAGCTGTACTAAAGGCAGCCACCGGCCCAGTCAGCAGTCATACTGAAGTTATGCAGAGCAACATAGGATTTTTCAAGAATATATTAAATTAACTGAGTCCACAATCTAATTAATAGCTTTTGGGAATTTGTCAGCACTTTACCAATGTCAACAGAAGAAACAATGTTATCTGCAGCACTGGGGCTCAGTGCCCTGGTGCCTGCAGGAGAGCAGTTCTGTGCTTCCCATACAATAAGCTGTAGAAAGCTATTCCCATTGGTGTTAGGTATAGCAGGTGACAAGCCTTGCTCCTAGAAAACCTTTCTGCGCTACATTCTTACTTAACATTGAGAAGGCAGTTGTGTTCCCCAAAATAGCATAAACAAAAAAACAAGTCTGAAGAATATGGGATAATCTAATTTAAATGTTAACATTTAAAAATAGATACAGTCATTATGTGGGGAACTGACCCAGTAACAGTCCATCTGTTTTTATAGCAAATATAGTGTGTGGGTTTTTTTCCTCGAGACTGAATTAAAAAGTATATTATCATATTCTACATAGTCATTGATACACTAAAGTTATTATACTAAACAATTAATTTCCAGTCTTTAAGATGAACTATTTTTTCAGTTTTTATATAGGAAAAAGCAAATGTACAAAAAAAGTACAAAGCTTAGATGTCACTTTTTTCAGAAAATAATTGGGTTTTGATAATACTGTAGCCCAGTAAAAGTGGAGAAGCACAAATTCCAACTGTTTTACATTACGAATGTTAAAACACAACAGATATTTCTAGGTCTAAGTCAAAGTATCTGCAGGAACTCAGTGCAGTTTCCTGCAGACTGGAGACTCAGTTTCCATTTAGACTGGAAAAAGAAAAGTGTTCTGGCATCTAATTAGAAATGCAAATACTAAAGTAAGTTTCTGTGTTTGCTATGTGTATATCAAATCAAGGTATACTGCTAGCTTAGAAGTAATAGTAATAAAAATTATTCTGCCCCTAAAGCTAAATACTTAGGGAACTGTAAATAATATTTGATATTTTAAAAGTATGAATTCAAAGAAAGACTCCAGAGAGAGCTCTTCAAAGGTCAGTGGTGGATTCCCACATAGTAGCTAATGGGTGGTTCTAGGGTGCCAGAGGCTTAAGGAGAAGGATTTGGAGCTTCCAGGTATGAAAAAGGATCAAAAATGGGAAAGTAAGCTGTGCTGGGTGCAGGTGCCCAGGTGCTGGTATAACAGGGGGGCTGCCGGGCAGGTTGGGAGGGAAAGGTGTCTTAGTCTTTGTTTCTTGCTATTTTACCTTACTTGTATTGGCAATAAATTAAATTAATCTTGCCCAAGTCGAGTCTGTTTTGCCCATGATGGTAACTGGTAAGTGTTCTCCCTGTCTATAAATTAGATTTAAATAAAATCTACCCCATTTATTGATTATAAATCTATTTATTATAGATCTACAATAAAATCTGTAAAAGACTTTATCATGAAGGTGCAGGTATAATCTAGACCTGTACAGAGCAGAGAACTGTTTTATTTTTTTATGTAAAGGGTTGATAAATGTTTTCAATGTTAATTTACTCTATTTGGTCCTATCTGCACAGGTTGCCAAACAACATCTGTCTGTCACTGTAATGAGCTTCTCAATATCTCCATTTTGTAGTGGTGTCTGGTGATTGCTTGCTTATGCTAGACCTGTTCAATTGCTTTCAGTCTTAGAATATCTTTATAGATACATAGGATACATACATTTATTTAAAAAGTTGAGCTATCACCAGTATTCTCAACTTGCAATTGTAATAGATTTCTTGGCTGTATTTTTAAGGAACTGAAAAGATTAGCTTTATCTGTAATAGTTTAGAATCTTGCCAGTAGTGAATGAAAGTAATTTCCTCTTGAAAAATATAATATGTTTAAAACTCAGGCTTAAAAGCAAAGAAACAACAAAACAAACATCACAAATCTCTTAAAAGTTTTGTTTCCTTTGTTCACATTGCAGACAACAAAAAGGGTAAGAAGAAAATTAATCAAATGTAGCAAGTACTACTGTTATTCTTTGGGTAAATCATGGAAGGACAGTTCTTGATGGATCGTATGGTTTAGATTTGTCATGTGTCCAGCTGCTTTAAGACTTGGAGTACCTGAGGACTTTGAATGTCTTTCTTAGATAAACACTGATTGCTGGAAATTATTAAGACAGCCATTCTTTCCAGATAAGTAAAATCAATAAAGTTAGATGCCCTGGCTTTCAAGGTAATACGTCTCTGACACAACTAGTACAGTTTTTTGCAACTGAGTTATTTGACAAGTTATTCACTTCAGTTTTATAATTAATAGAAATTTAATAAGGATGATGATGATTTACTTAACAACTAGTCCTTGCCTTACATTAGGAAATTATTAATGACATCTATCTTCCCTGTATGTATTCAGTTGGTAATATAAAAACAAAAAAACCAACACAACAATATCCATGAAGTTCAGGGTCACAGTTTGGAAAGCTGCTTATTTATGAAGATAGCTGTGATTCACTTGTTACTTTATCATGAAAATCTCTGAAGTGACTTAGATTTTAGTGTAAAAAGATTCACTATTCAGTTAAATATTTATATGTTGGCTGTTGGGTTTTTTACACAATCCAGAGTTATGTCTGCTTGAGAGGGTGCAAAATGCTCAATGATTGTTCTGAATTGCCAGGGCATGAAATGACTCCTGTCAGAAAATTCTGTAAACACATTAGATCTGGCACAATCCTGCACTAATACATTCTCTTTCTGACACTGTGCTAATAGAATCATACAGCTGTAAGGTGGTACCTGCTGGAAGCATGGGCAGTGGAACCGCTGTACTCAATCCATATGGGTCTTTATTCACTCTATAGATATGCCCCTAGGTATGAGATGTTCCTTCTTACATGTATTTAAAGCTTAAGGCTGAAGCTTGGCACTGTGTTCCCACAGAAAGCAAGTGGTACCTAATTTAGCCTTCTCAGTTTATATCATCTATAATGTTCATCATTTTGATTACCATTATTGCATTAGACAAATGCTGAAACACTGCTGAATGAAATGAGTTTTCAATATGATCATAAATTATTGTTTATTCCAGAGATAGCTGTTTTAACTGAGCATGCTTCTGCTCAGGGCATACAGTTTGGAATGTCTGTACATGAGAATTTTGTGTTCTGAAAACCGTCCAAGGAAGTACTTCAGGTCTTGCCTTGGTACAACAGACAGATGGGTGTCTGTCTGCTGGAAGTGTTCAAAATTATATTATAGCTTTTCTTCCCAAACAGTTTGAGTCTTAGATGTTTTAATTTTTTTAACAAAAGTGATTCTTTCCTCTCTCCCCTCCTTTAACCCTAATGACATCTCAAGTGTTTAGCCTGAGTAAAAACAGTAAATATAAAAGCAAAGGAGACTGTAGTGTTCAATTACGAAGATTATGCACTTGACCGTGAAACTTTTGGGACATTACAATGTGACGCTACTGCTCCCCAAGTCTTTCTCTTTTTTCCTGCGGGTATTAGTGTTTTCCATAAAGCATGGAAGAATTGTAGCAAGGAGATTCTTTGCTGATGGTTGACACTAAGTCATAAGAGTAATGTCCTATTATCCTGGGGAAACTTCCACCTAGCTTGTTCTCTTAGATATATGCAGTATATTCATGTTACATGTTG